AATTAAGAAAATTAGAAAAGGCAAAAAAACAAAAATCAAAAGTCCTGATAATGACCTGATGGCAGACAGGGCTGCCATGTTTCTGCCAGGCTGCAGTACAGCCGACGAAGGAATCAAATGCCAAGAAGCAAGGTATTGCTTTCCATGGCTCTTGTCCCTCTTACACTAGTGATAAATCTGGTTTGTCATTGTCCTTTTTTTTTTTTTTTTTTTTTTTTTCAAATAATATATTTTTTGTTCTGTTTCATTCTCATTCTTGTAATGGTTAGTTGTTGTTTTCCTGCATCTCCCTTTAATTGAAGCGAAGCCAGAACATCAACTGTTATGTGTAAGAAGAAAGTGCTAGAAATCATAGAGCAAATGTACGTCAGTATTTCTCTTTCTAAAAATAGTTAGTAGTAAATAAACTATATTTCCTTGGAGCCCAGAAAAAAAATATCTTAATGCTTAGTTTGTGTGTTTTCATTCTGTACACGTGGAAAGTAAATAACAACATAAAAATTGAATGCTACCATATTGTCATGCAGATTTATTTTTAAAATCCTAGCTTTAAATCAGCTTTAGCAGGTGGGATGAAAGTCATGTTTTACTTCTTTGCTGAAGTTTTTCATCCCATGTCTTGTTACAAAGCAGTAAATTTTGAATTGATTTCACATTTGCTCAGCCAATGAACAGTAACTTGTTTTTATTTGTACGGCACCTGGCACTGTAGTGTCCACTGCTGCTGGTTTAAGGATTGTAGAGACACAAGTAACTAATAAATACTCTGCTACCACCCTTATGTTTTCAAAAAAGCACAAAACGCCATCACAAAGTAATTTATCGCAATGTCTTTTCTCCTTACCTCTCTTCATGTATGTGGAAATAATGGTATAAATCTTCTGTTGTCCGACGCAAAGCTGAAGTCAAAACATCAATATTCTGGATCCTCTGTTTTGAGAGAGGATTTGGCACGTGGCTGAGATACAGGTGTGAGACACTGACTGCAGGTCATGTTCTGCAGAAAAAAAAGGTGATACTGAAGAAAATCTATGTAAAAGTGCACAGTGAGTAGGTGTAATTTGCAACATTATGCATGGAAATTTAGTTTTAGCAGTGTTCCATGGATAAATTTCTGAAGCATCTTCTGATGGGTTTTGTTTTCCTGCAGTACTGAAGAACGCTGGTCTTCTGAGATACAGTTCTATTCCTTAAAGATTGCATAGGAGGAGGGGGTGGTGGTTGTTGTGCTTATTATTATAAGGGCTTTTGAAGTTTGAGTTTGATCAATCAGAGAATACTGAGTTATTTCTTCTGGCTCTCAGTGCTTTGACCTTGCCCTTTGGTTTACTACAGATTTTTCAATCTCCATGCATCATCCATCACTAGCAATGAAAATAAAACAGCCAGCGTATTAAATATTTGAAAAAATGTCAGCAACTTGTTGTGGTTTAACCCTTGAAGGCAACTAAATACCACGGTCACTTTGTCACTCTCCCCCAGTGAGATGAGGGAAGAGAATTGGAAGGGCAAAATTTAGAAACTCAGGGGTTGAGATAAAGACCTTTAGATAATTAAAAAAATAAAAAATTTAAAAAGTTGTGCATTATGAGGTGACCAGTGCGCAGGCAGTCTTGGAGCAATGGCAGCCTTGGAAAATTCCTCCTCATTTGTATAGCTGAGCATAGCATTGTGTGGTATGGAATATCTCTTTGTTTAGCTGGAGCCAGCTGTCCTGGCTGTGTCCCCTCCCAGCTTCTTTTGCACCCCCAGCATCTTTGCTAGTAGGAGAAGCAGGAAAGAGCTTGGTGCTGTGCCAGCCCCGCTCAGCGATAGCTAAAACATATCTGTTGTCAATGCTGTTTTTGTCACAAATCCAAAATGTAGCATTGTACTAAAGAAAGTGAAGTCTATCCCAGCCAAAAACCAGCAGGAAACTACGTGTGGGTATGAGCAGTAATATGTTTAGTTTCATTCAGTTACTTCAAAAAATTTGTTATATAATGGTGTGTGAAATTCATCATTTTATGCTGACAATTTTTCCCTGCAAGAAAAATATATTTAAAAATGTACTGATTTTCTACCAGGGACTTAGAAGAGATTTCTTAGCTTTTACATACTCCCCAGAGGAGGGATCTGTGGAATACAATCAGGTGGAACTCTCTCTGAATAAATCTAGCCTAGATCAAACTTGGTGGGATATTCCTTATTTTGTCATTTCTTGTCTGCATTGTAGATGCCTAAAATTGATTCTTTATAGCAAAGCATTTGGGAAGGGGTTATTGGGCATCTGGGGACCTGTAATACAATTTCTAGTTCTTTATGAACCAAGGTTTTGTCTGGGCGGAAGGAACTCTGAGTGTTTCTGAACCTGCCTCTCAAATGCTGTAGCAGGAGCAAGCTAACAGGGTGGTACAAGCATCCAAAGGAGTAAATTGAGTTCAAGCTCTTTTTTGTGTGTGACATCACGGAGACATCTGTATGGTAAAAGCATAAAAATAATCTGCTCAGATAAGAGCATTAGAATGGACAGTAATCGAAAAGCACAGTTCTATTTTGGAAAGCAGCCATCTAAAAATGTCAATTTTGAATCCAGCAGATCTATTCCCATGAGTATTAAAATTTTAGTTGCTAAATTTAGTGACAAAAAGTGCTGTTTTAAAGTCTTGGGGAATTATCTGATTTTTTTCTACTTAACAGCCTATGAAATAGACTATTTCATTGTTTGTAACAATTTGAAATTCTGTCACTTAGGAAATGTTAAGAGAATTGTTTAAAAAATCTTTACACATTTCTTCATTTTTGTATTGATCCACTTAGAATAGACAAAACCTTTCTTCTGAGTCTACGTTATTTGAAATGCTTTATGAAATTCCATTTTGGGGAATTTCACAAGGAAAGTTCAGATAAGAATACAGTGATCTCCAGATACTCTGTTCTGAAGCTCTGAAGGCTGTTTGCTTTAAACTTTTTTCATCTAATTTCAGATATTGTAGTTTGCGTTCCTATTTTTATATCCAGCTTCTTCAGCTCCTCTTCTGGGTTTTTTTTTTCTTTCTTCCCCCCTAGTATTTCTAGTCCTTCTTTTCAGTCTAACTCAATTAAGAATTAATCAAATCCCCAAACAGATATCTAAGTCCTTCCTGAATCATTGCTGAATCACTGTTTTCCTTTGGTAGGACTCATTGACAAGCAGATTTTTTTTTAATCCAGCAATAAACTTCATTTTATAGAACAAATATTGTGTCATTTTTCAGCAAAATTTAAACTGGTTTTTAGAGTGCTGGGATGTAATTTTTTCTTGCCATTGCCATGGACTTAAAAGCTGATTAAAGGCTTAATTTTTAGACTAAAACTAAAAGTTGGTCATTACTGGTGAATTCTAGTAATGTAGTATAATGTTGTTTTCCTGTTAAAATTGTGCAGACATAAAGGAAAAATGGACTTTGGTCCTGGGAGAAAAGACTGTAAAATGGTGTGGTAGTACTAGAATGCAGATATTTAGGATGTAGACATGCTCATCACTCAGGGACTTGCACGCCTGGTTCCTAAAATATGGTAATCATAGAATGACTTGGGTTAGAAGAGACCTTAAAGATCAAATTATTTATTTAGTTTGTTTTTGTTATGTTTTCTCTTTTCCCTTTTTCCCTCCATACTTAGCCTTCAGAAGTACCTGCTTTCCCTCCCCTGAAGGGAAATAGATAATGTGTTCTGAGGTAACAAATTATATCTATCTCTGAAAATGAGCCAATGTAATCATGACAAATTCATGAAATAAAGAGGAAATACATTGCTGCAGTCCTGGGGAACATGAGTCAATATGCTTTAAGTAATTATTTAATAAAACATCTCTTCTAGTGCATTGAACCAGCCTTAGATACTGAAGCAGTTGTATTTATGTGGGAATAAACAAACTTCCAGTAAAAGCTGGGGACCAGAAGTATGCAATTATACATTTCCAGAAATACTCATTAAACCTGTCTATTTAAATTTTAATCAGAGTTCTCTGTATGAAAGCCATCATGATAAGGAGGAATAGGGGAGAAAGAAAAAAAAAAAAAAAAAAAAAAAAAAGCAAAGCTTTTCTATGAAAGACTGTTCAGCTCTTCTAGTTTTCCAAATGGCTTCGAATTTCTGTTTTTATTTATCCACTTTTACTTGGGAATGGAAATCAGTCTAACAGTTAATGTCAAATCCTACATGCTATCTTAATTCTGTTTTATGGGAGCTGTACTGGTATTAGCACAGAAATACTACAGTGATAGCAGAGTTGTCAAAGAAATGATGTGGGGATTAGACAGTGAGATATTTGAAGTACTTGATCTTTGTGCGGTCCATCGGAGATAGAAAGACCGATAGTCTTTACTTTCATACATTGAAAGTAAACACAGCAAACATGTTTGCACTGAAAAAATACAAATCGCTTGGTACTTCCAGTATTTTTTAGATCACCTTTATTTATCTTCCTCCTATGCCTGACCTAAATACTGCAGACTGTGTTATATTTGAGAAAATAGAGCACTTGTTGCCCAGTATTGTTCTGATGAGAAAGTCAGAAATAGCTATGAGAGGTTCATGACTCCAATTGCTGGAATTAATTCAGTAGGTGTCTTACTATGTTCCTCTCAAATATTAGATTTGTATAATTTAATGGTCAGTGATTTTTGTATTTATTTTCAGCCAGCCTAATGTAGCATGAGGATACTCAGGGGCAGTTTACCTGCACAACTGAGCACGCCTATCATCTGAAGCCTTTACACAGATATTTGTTGACCTATCGAAAACACCCAAAAGTGAAATTCAGAGGCCTGCAAAATGTTAGTGCATAAAGATAAGGCATGTGTCCATCCCTGAAAAGAATCATTATATAGTTCATGTTTCACAGTCTTTTTTTTTTTTTTTTTTTTTTTTTTTATGAACACTTAATTCTGATATATCATCTCGTGTCTTTACAAATGTCGGTTACAAATGCTGCTTCAGTCTTTGATTCTAATGCTCGCTGTTCTTTATCTTTCTAGGGCATCAGTAGCCTCTTCAGTTCACTTAAAGTGGTCAGACTACTTCGCCTGGGTCGTGTCGCTCGGAAATTGGATCACTACATAGAATATGGAGCAGCAGTCTTGGTTCTGCTGGTGTGTGTGTTTGGTCTCGCAGCACACTGGTTGGCCTGCATTTGGTACAGCATAGGAGACTATGAAGTTATTGATGAGGATACAAACACGATCCGAACCGAGAGCTGGCTCTATCAGCTGGGAATGTCAATAGGAACACCTTACCGTTTTAACACATCTGGCTTTGGAAAATGGGAAGGTGGGCCAAGCAAGGATTCTGTCTACATCTCCTCATTGTATTTTACAATGACCAGCCTCACCAGTGTTGGATTTGGAAACATTGCACCGACTACAGATGGGGAGAAGATCTTTGCTGTTGCGATGATGATGATTGGCTGTAAGTATTAGAGATTCTGTCTCTCACACAGTGTTGGATAGCTGTGTACCATGAATACTAAGTGATGTATGAACATCTAGAATAATGCCAAACATTATTATACATTTTAAAAGCAAAATATCTTTGGTGGCAATACAGTTATCCACACTTAGTTTTAAAATCACAGATGAAAATATTGCTTTGACTAGCAAAAATTCAGTCATTTGGGATGTGATACTCTATTAATATCCTTTCAGTATCTCATGTAAGTAAGCAACAAAATGTCTAAAGCCTGAGGTATTAAAAATTAAAATACCAGAGTGAGCATAGACAACCCTTGTGCTTAGATTTGGTATGTGGCAAAATCTTGGCATGTGTACATTGGACAAGTAGGTGAGAGGGTGGGGAGAAGCCTAGGAGCATCTTCACAGGAAAGAGGCAACAGTAGCTTTCTAGAGGCTATGAACTCCACTGAGGGCTGAGCATACAGTCAGATCCTGAAGCAAATACAGTGCCACTGCCCTTGGACACCCCTTCTGGCTTATATTTCCTTGTCGCAATGCATTCATGTTTGCCAAGCTGTCCAGTTTTTGGTCCATGAAAAGTGCCTGGAGACTTACTTGCAGTTATGTGCCATACTGTGTCTGCTCTTCAACTTGATTGTGCTTTCCTACATAAGGGAATCAAAATAAGGGGAAAAAAAAAAAAAAAGACTTAATACATGGAAGAGCATATCACTGTTATGAAGAAAGAGAGAAGCTTATGTACGATAATAATATATTTAGGGGAGGAAAAAAAGCCCTTGCTAAGCAGAAAGTTAAGCCTAATATATAAAGAAACTCAATTAGCACCAACATTGCACTACAGTTATCTGCAGCTTTGATTCTGATATGTTGTTTTACAGCAGAAATGAAATCCTATATTGAAATTACGCATGCGGAGGTAAGCAGGCTTAACGTTGAGAGTAGGAAGACAAGCATCATTGATTGAATAGGGATTGGGATTTTTTAGCTGTAAAAATTGTTAGTTTTATTCTCATAGCTTTTTTCGCTTCTAAAAGTCTCATCATCTTATTAAAACACACTGGTAGTAGAAGTGGAATTTATGAAAATCTTGGAGACAATTACAGATTTTCCTCAGGACAATGTGAGACAGTGTGGCGGTGTAGTGCAGAACAGGCTTCCAAACATAGCTCCTGATGAAGACACCTGCTTAATAGGAAATATCCTGACCTTTGGCTTATTGTTCATTAAGTGTTACACTCGTGATACTGTCTAGACACAAATAGCCAGTACTATTATTATTATTCAGTGCTGTGAGTATTCATTGAACATAACCTTTATGAAATCAAGAATGTGTGTGGGGATATTTTGGAGTTATCCCTGCTCCAAACACTTCATTTCAAAGTGTGATTGGAAAGAAATGGAATTTCTACATGGTGAGAACTGATAGGTATCTGCTTTGAATTGTGAAATGAATTTTCATTTCAGCAAGTTTTTAAAAGATAGTGGTCTGGTAATCTTACATCTCATGAATACAGTCACATTTGACAGAAACAGATTTTTTTTAAATATTTGATTGGACTTCTGAACCTTAAATAACCACCCTGTTAAATACAGGTGTATCTGAACATCTCTATCCTACGAACAGCTACTTGGAAAGCATTTGGACTGTTCATAATACGTGTTTGCAGGAATAACAGTTAAGTGATCCAGTCTTTTGGTTTACCTCTCTGGATCTTATAGGGTTTTATTGCTTTTAGCAGGCACGATGTTTTGAGCTGTGATCATTTCTGAGGATGAGAGGAACTAAACAGCTATGTTTAGCTTGCTGCTGTTTGGAGCCTAACTGTTGATACAGTTTCTTCCACTATAAAATGCTGTGTTAAAATAAGTGTTTTGCCTGTAGAATTAAGCTCTCAAAGACTGATGTGAGCTTGAGCTAGGTTAGTTTTGTAAGAATTTTGTCTGATCTGTTAGGAACCTAAAAGATACAGGGCAAATGTATTGGGGGATAAATTTGGATGAGGGATAAGGAGTCTTATGGCTGGAGCTTTTCTGTGTCACTCAGGAAAATCTAAATTTGTTGCTGGCCGAGTAGCATGTTTGTTATGGGCTGAGGTTACTCACATCATAGTTGGCTACGTTTTCCTGTTTTGCTTGTCATTTTATGCATGTCTAGATGCAAAGATTTGCATCTGTCAAACTCCAATGCATCAGAAATAAGCACTTCTAATCAATTATGCCAAGGTGTTACTGCCCATTAGTGAAAATAAAAGGTATATGATTTCTTTCTTACATTTTGCCATTAATAGTCCAATTAATTTAGATGCAGATCTCAAAACCATGAAATGTTACATATTTTATGGTATGCTTGTGCTACTCATATCTGCACGTGCTGTAAACAAGTCCTTTGCAGGTAAACTTAATAATAATTTAAAGCTAAGTTGACGAGCAGCTAAAATATATATTACTTGCTATATTTTTATCATTGCTTATGCAATTAATTTTGTTTTTGGGGTGAAAAACGATGACAACAAACACTTTAATAAACTTCCTATGCAAGTTGGTTTTTATCACACGCTTTCTGACACTAGCAGAAAATAGGTTTAAAAAGGTCAGGCAACTGTGTTGTGGTAATCTTCCTGATGATAAAGATCTTTGCTTCTGCTGAGGGGGACTAAAAGGACAGAAACCTTGAAAACCAGTAGATTATTCCACAGACATCTGTAAATTAAATGTTTACTGGAGATACGATCTTTGATTTAGACCCTGTGATTTGCTGAATATCTTTAAATAATGAACATAAAAGCTGAAGTGTGCTTGCTGCACTGCTCAAACCTATGGCCTGTAGTGGAAGAGGAGAAATCCATTTTCGTTAACAAATAAGCACAGAAGAGTAGAACTGCGCTGAAAATCCTCTTTTCCACTGTTGTAATAATTCATTGGAGTAGTACACAGTGATGCTCAAAACTGTGCTCTGATTGTGTATGAAGGCGGCAGTTCGTATCTCATCTTTCAGTAGCACAGGGAATTCCATTTTCTTTCCATGATCCTAACAGTTTGACTGACTGAAGCTCCAGTTGAAGATAAGTGGAATTTGCAGAGCCCAACTTCAAATTTATTACTCGATTAGCTTCTCCCTTGCTAGAAGTTGTCCATAAGAACTGTGTGAATTTATTTTGTTTTTGGAATGACTGGGTGTAGGCAAATGTACATACCTGTATATTTAAACAGTCCATTGAAATACTGCTAGATATTTCACAAATTTTGTGAAAGAAATGGAAATAACAGTGGTTCTTTTCCTTTGAGGATGTTATCTTTTTTAGTTGAGTACGGAAATATACTAAAAAAATCATTACTGAGATCCCTGAATTGTCACTATAGTGTCATGAGAAAAAGGTTATTTGGGGACAAATATATATAACAACCAACATTAATAATTCAAATTAATTCCAGCAAAGTTTTACTTTAAATAAACTGGAAGTATTTAATAGAGTAATTTTTTCCCTTTGGGCCAATTAACCTCTCAACTGTGAATAAATAGTAGAGCTTCCATTAGTTTGAACAGGAAAAAAATTTAGCTGGTTAGAAAGAAAATGATGAAATTTCCTTCTATTTGTGGCTTTTATCCTGTGCCTTTTCAGAGTAGTAACATGCACTGTGTTAGCCAACTCACAGTGTTAAGCAGTGCCATGGCTGGCCAAGCCCATGCTCACAGTTACATTGGTAGAGATGGCCTATGACTCCTGTGAAGCCGATCCTGAGGCAGAAATACATTTGTGTGCTGTTATCTCCTGGTAAACTTATTGACCACTGATAATAGCACTTTGCTACAGTGCCAGCTAGCTGTTCAAAGAAGTATCTTAGTTCCATTTTCCTTTTTATTCAGTATTTTGTTTTATCTACTGTAGCAGGAATGCTAAGTCGTGTCTTGAAGCAGTGATTGAGCACCTGGTAGGAAGGCAGGACCAACCCAGGGGAACTCAGGTGCATGCAATGTACCCGAGTGATTGCACCTGATGGAGCCAGGATCCACCCCTTCCCAGACCTGATGTAAGGGTTGGCAGGGGAGGTGAGGGTATCTTGCTGGAGATCCCTGCATACCTGAGGCCTTCTAAGGGTAAGCAGATTTTTTTCATTTTCCCTTTGTTTTGGTGTCCATGGCTGCTGCATCTGAGCATATCCTCACTTGCTGCAGCCTATTGTTGCTGTGCTTTCCATTGCGTTATAGCATTACATTAACTAAAAAGATCCATGTACTGTTCAATTAGCTTCGCTAATGTATCTCTGTCTTGGACCAGTGGGAATCATGACTGAGTGAGCACAAGTGGAGGCCTGATAAAAAGTTTAAGATACGTGATTTTGTGGAAGGAAGGGTGGGTATGTCTTATTAGTGATGAATGGAAGCTGGCTGATTGAGATGAAATGGCTGCATGTGGGCATGGAGCCTGTGGGGCAGTTTATATGTTTGCTTTTATATGAAAGCAAAGCATAAGGCACATTGTGTGCCTCATGTCTTAGAAGCCACCTCCCATGGGGATGTACTCTTTTGTTCTCAAATGCAGTGTCTCTGTGTGCTATCCTACTGACCTTGTGGTGGCTATGTTTTTTGGGGAGGCAGTGTTTTATTGTTGTTTGTTCCGACATGGGTAGGTGTAGATGCTGGTTAGAGTTGTGAGGGAGTACAGTGTGCTCATCGCATAGCGCTCGGGATGTGTGCTCCATTGGTCAGCCCCACTGAAGGGAGACACGGGTAGGTGAAAAATGCTCTCCACTCTTAACCCCAAATAATGCATATCTACTTGGGAAAAACATTATTTCAAGATAGAGGTGAAGTACCCTGTGGCTGCTCTTAAGCATTTCTATTCACTGCATCTAATAAGATACGCGTATTTCTATGTAGCTGTTTTTCTTGTACATATGGTGAATTACAGCTTTGTAAAAAAGGCTCTGTCTTCACATCTGTCAGTGAACTGACCTGTGTGTTTCAGCCTCTGTTCATTCAGAGAGTGTGTGTAT